CCATTAGCAATGTCAACCACACTATTAGTATGTGGACGACTGCTAGTAGCCACGAAAGCAGGATATTTATTTTCCAAACTAACAAATTCGGTTACATTGTAGTGTTTATCAAAGGTTAAACAATGGCCATACGAGGTGGTTGCATCAAACCTATCAGATAGAATGAGACATTGAGGTTTTGAACGCGAGAATTCGAGGTGGGTTTTTGCAAATTCGCGACTCGAGATCATAGGAAGCCAACCATGGGAAACACATTTGAAACGAATGAGGGGTTTTACCGGAAGTCTTCAGAAAATTTGATCTGCTATCAGTTGATCCGGGAGAGTTATTGGTGTGATAACTTCAGAATCGAATTTTGCTGACGAGTTTTTCATCATCATCATCTTGCAATGGATCAAAACCTGGAATTGAAGATTTTAAACAAAAAAGAAAAAAGAGGGATTGAGTTAGAATTATGAAATGGGAGTTTAGAATTAGTGATAATTTAGATGAAAATGGTTTTAAGCTAAGTTTGCAATTGAATTACCTGAAATTCTGTAAGGTGGCGGCTTGTAATGAAAGGGATAGTGGGTGAGGAAAAAGAGGACAGTATTTATACTGAGTTCAAGCCATCCTTATTTTGGATAAGTCAAGAATTAGGCTAGGTGTATAGAGTGTCAGTGTGTCATCAATCTAGAGTATCTTTTCTGATTTAAGATCGAAATGGATATTGCTCTCAAATTCTCAATACAAAATCTTGACTAAGGTGAACTTGTTGAAGAATAGACCTCCCATATCACCACATGTAAGTGTCCCACATTGGTTGAAAAAGAGAGAGTTAATCATTTTATAACGCTAAGGGGCTAAGCCTCCTATTGCCATATAATTTTGGGATAGAATCTCCTTGGACTTGTGAAGTGGACTTTCTCTCTTTTGGTGCGGCCCAGTCTTAGTGTAAGACGAGTTAAACTTATTTTGAATTATAAAAAGTTACCATTTTTTAACATAAATTAAACTCTTAGAAAATCTCATGTACTTAAATTAATCTTATTAGTTTTTTTTTTTTTTTTTTTTTTTTTTTTTTTTTTTTTTTTTTTTTGAAACCAAAATCATATTAGCTTTTATAGCGGGTATTCATTAGGAAAAAACATATATTAAAATACAATCAAACTCATTCAAAATTAAAAGTTAGCCTTAAAGTTTCTTGAAGTTACCATAAAGTTTGTTAAAGTTACCCTCAAGTTGATCGTCTTTCAATAAAGTTAACATAAGTCCACCTTATACAAGACTTACCGTGCTCTTAATAGCGTCAAGAGGTAATAAATTATGTGAAGAATAGGACATAAATTTGCGACTAAATTTAATTTTCGACGGCTAGCTGTTGGAACAACCATTACCGGCGGTTTTGTCTAATTTATTTTTATCTATTTTTTATTCTTTTCCGATGTCGGTGATAAGTCTGAGTCTTGTCATCCCTTGATCTTTAAGGCAATGATTAAGGAATATATTAGTCTTTATACATACAACTAAAATTACCAATCTATGAAGAATAAGATAGAGCTAAATGTGCAATTTTGAAATTGGTGAGTCGTGAGAAGAATATCAAAAAACAAAAAAAATTGATGCAATTTCTCTTAGAACAAGGATAGGATTTTTAATGAAATTAATTCCTGTAAAAAAAAATGAAATTAATAATATATAATTCAAAGCAAATTAAAAATAAAAATAAAAAAAACATATAATCTGGTCATTTTACTCCGGTGAAAATCAATATATAGTGATGCCGTGACACGACTGGAAAAAATTTATTTGCATCGATTGTTCAACGGACGCAAATAATAATCATTTACTTTTGCTGGTTCCCTTTTATCAAACGACGCAAATGACTTCATTCAAAACACACATCCAAGTTTTTTGCATTGGTTCTTTTCTTAAATGCAATACAAATGACTTTATCAAAATTTGCGTGTTGATCTTTGTGAATTATACTTCGTATCTTTTTTTTTTTTTTTTTAAAAAAAGTATATACTTTATACATTACAAAATGATAGAGTATCACAAATAATTTTCCATAATTTTTTGTTAATAAGTAAACTAGGGCAAAAATTTGTTGCGACTAAATTTAATTTATCCTTTCCGATGATTAAACCATACATTTATTAACTGACTCAATCGAGCGTAGATTGAGCAAGCAAATTTGTGCATTTATTAAGAGAATGATAAAAATGCAAATTGAGAAAGAAATTAAAATGGATGTCACTTTTAATAATGTTGTGGCCATAATAAAATTATGGCCATTGTATTAAATCAAATCATAGTCGTTTATTTCTATTGACTAATGTGAACCGTTGATATGATTTACTTTTTATTTATTTTTTTTGTAAAAAAATTTGAAAAAAAAAATTAAAAACCATCACGTTCTTATCAGTTTTCTATTTTAGTTTCTTCTCTCTCAGTATTTTTTTTCCTTTTACTTCTCTTCAATCTTTCTTATTTGTTTTCTTTGTTTTAAATTGGATACATATTGCAAAAAATTCAAGCAACTCTGTTTGATTGCCAGATTTAGAGGCAAAAATTAATCTGATTTAGTGTCATAGCCAGTTCGCTGCACATACTCAAGAAATGAGAAATAAATTTAAACTTGAAACAAATGGAACTTGTCAATTGCATGCCAATATCTAACTGTTATCTGAAATCAATTTCCAAACTCCCAACTATTTATTCTGAAACTCAAGCCATAAAAAGCTAATGGCATACGGAGTAAAGCAAAGGATGGATTCAAGAAAAATTACAGTTAAGAAGACAATAATGGTTGGTCTTGGAGCCAATAGCCAATCATTATATATAATCAGTATACATGGATCACAAGCAAAGATTGAAAAGAAGTAAAGGGGAAAAAATACAGACTAAATAAAGAAGAAACCGATAAGAACGTGGTAGTTTTTTTAATTCTTTTTTTGGTCATGTTTCTTAAAAAATAAAATAAAAATAAACTATATCAACGGTTCACATGCATTAGTCAATACAAATGAACGGTACGGTTGTGATTTGTTTTAATACAATGACCACAATTTTATTGTAGCCATTTGAAAACTATTTTACAAATACAGGTAACAATACAATGTAGATTGTGTTATAGAACAAATTTGCATCTTTATTTACTTGCTAAAACTTTGCTAATAAAAGTGCGAATTGTGAAAATAGATACCGCTTTCAGTAGGTTCTAAAGGTGAATAATGTACTGACCAAGCTACAAACTTATGACTATATATTGTTTTTAACACATGGATAATGCATGATCTCAATAGTGCAAAGACATAAATTATGTGTAGAATGATTCATAATTTTTTAATTTTTTTTTTGGGTAGAAAGGAACATTAGATTAAATTAAAGCAGAGTAAGGTACATCAGATCCCCTGCTGATCACCGTCATCCAAATCAGAAAGAGTATTAAGTTTTCCTTCCACAATAAGCTGATTACAAACCAGGGAAGGGGTTACATAATAAACCAGATTATTGTTCTAAAGATCGTTCCTAGTTTTGGCTTCCCTTGCTAAAGCATCATATATAAAATGAACTATCATGTTCGTGTTGGAAAATTATTTTATTTTCTATTTTGTGATTTAAAATTTTCAATAAATAAATATGTTATTCATTAACTTTGATGCTTAGTCGTTATAATTATTTAAATGGCTTGATTGTTGAGTACATGTTCCTACAATCAAGGAACAAAAGCTAACTTAACGTTAATGGGTTGTTTTGCACGGCATGAATAATAGAATAGTTAGTGAAGAATTCATCTTATTTCTAAGGGTTATTTATTTATTTATTTTCCTCTATATATATATGATAAGTGACGGCAAACATAATTATTGAAGTGAAAAATACTTTCATAGAAAAAATAGTGATTACTATAAATTCCCTCTTTATTAAAAGTAGTAATATAGTTTTATGGAGCATTAGGTAATTAGTTCGGGGGTCTTTTGCTGCACACAATCGATTAGGCGGGTAGTCGTATCTTGGGAGATGAGCGAATTAAATAAATACATTCTACCGGTGCAGTAGGGCGTTTTCTTTCTAAGATTAGCGCATTGCGTGCTACAACCCAGGCTATTCTAAACTCATTCTTCTACTATTATTTTACGTTTGTGCTACTTGATTGTTATTATAAGTGTTGTGATATTTGACTAATAATAAGTACTAATATTGTCCCATATTTGTGCTTTATTATTTTTGACATTATTTTCTAACAGTTCGCCTCTCTAAAATAATGATAAATAATAGCACAGATTATGAGAATAGATACTGCACTCAACAATGTCAAATAGTTAGTAACATGTAGCATGAGATAATAAGATATGAAATCAACAACTGTAATAGCCTCTCTTATACTACTATGATCCATTAAAAAGAAAATTGTGAAAAGAAATGGATATCACTCTCACTAGTATAAGGAGGTAATTAATGTAGAATGACACACGCTACCATCAATAGTATCAGGAGGAGAAAGTAGTCAAACAACAAGGACTAATATATGGTTAATTAGATTTGTGAATTTGTTAACCATTTATTTCTAAACAAAAATTTCATAAGAGAAGTAGATATATATGCGACTATGCGTGCTACTAAATATCAATTAGAATGGTTTATTTAGTGTCTGGATGCATTATCTACCGAGGGCAATGAAGTTACTTGATAGATGATTAGGATTTTGCCGTTTTAACCTTGTCCAAATATTAACTCTGTCAAATTTTGCTCAAACAATAAGTACTATAACTGATTTTTTAATTAATTTTACTCGATTAACCAAAGCAAGAGATAATCTCTATTACAAAGGTAACACAGTAATGTCTGGATTATTATGACTACCAAATACAAACAGTAAAATTGGACTAAAATTGAGCCTAAAAAGCAACTAAGCGAAATATTACAATGACACAAACAACACCATACACTGATTAATTATTAATTGGCTCCTAATTAAGTCCCTTTTACAATTCAGAATCGACTCTCAAGGTCAATCAATCTTCATTCTCTCCCAAAGGAGAAATGAGACTCTCAGAATAGCCGAATGTGCCCCCTAAAAAATAGTTAAACAAGCTTCCTCGATCTACTGATTCCCAAACAATGGTACCTTCATCTGGTGGTTTTTGTCGTTCTTGCTCTTGCTCTTGTTCTGGTTTCGATGAAGATACCTTGCTAAGTTCATGTAGTATAAGCCGATGAGATTGATATGATAATTGACTTACCAAACACTTTCCTGTCTCAAATAAATAATTAAAATCCGTTCCTATATAGTTGAGAGATAATACTTTCTGCCACGAAACCCTATCTTCCTCATCACCATGTTCCTTCATCTTCCAAACATGACAAATACTCTTTTCATTATCAGTATAATTCTGAATCAAACATAATGCCAAGCAACCTTCCATCCGAAATAATTTTGCAATTACCCAATCACCAGGGATTCTTCCAAATAATGGGATGATTACCATATCCTCTTCAACTAAATCCAATCCAATTATGTAGTTTTCATCCTCATTCAAATGTTGCGGAATCCAATATAGAGTATCACCAACAAACGCCGGGTTTTCATATTCAAATGTTAACAACAATTCATAATATAGATCTATCTTTGGCTTTTGTATCCAAAACCCAGTCTTCAAAGAAAACACAAGAATGATTAATGTTTTATTATGAACCATTAAGCACCCTATCTTATAATCATCAATAGACGACACATAACCAAACCCGATACACCTCAATTGATAATCATCCCACTTACCACGAGCCATGGGAACAAAAATATCGCGGCAATGGTTGGTCACAGGGTTCCACACATACATGCGCATAATATCTTGATTATACACACACAATAACCCATTACATGAACCCACCACACGAGTATTTAGAGTATTAAATCGAACTGTAGGATATTTATTCATCAATTTAGTATACTCATTCAGATTGTAGTTTTCATCAAAGGATAATAAATACTTATCTTCTTCCTCAGTCTCACGATCCTCTTGAACAATCAGATTTTGATCATGCGAGGGAAACCACAACTCAAAGTGCTTTTTTGCGAATTTAGTACTCGATATCATGGAAAGCCATCCACTAGAAACACATTTGAAGCGGAGTAGAGGTTTCACCGCAAGTCTTGTTAGGATGTGTTCCTCGATGACATGATCCGGAAGAGTATTGTATGTGGATACATGTTCCGATTTCTTTGGCGATGAGGCGTTCATCATCTTTCAACGTCGGATGAAAAACTGGCCTACAAAATGAAAACACACACAAAAAAAAAAAAAAAAATAATTAATCAAGTTTAAATTATTAAATTAGGGGTTTAGAATTGATTAAATTTTAATTGGAATTGGTGAAGAATTTGCGATTAAATTAGTACCTGAAGAGATGTGGCGCAGATTAAGATATGAGAAATGCGAATGCTGAATTTGAGGATTGAATGCAAGGGTTAGGGTGGCGGCTTGTAATGAAAATGACAGTGACATAGGAAAGAGAAAGACTATTTATATTTTTGATGTTGTTTTTTGGATTAGGGTAGAATTAGGTCAAGTTTGTAGAGTAGCATTAACTTAGTACGTCTTTGCTGACGAAATTAAGAAAATGGATATCTTCCTTCATTATTAAGAAAAAAAAATTGGATTCCTTCAAAACAAAAAAAAAAAAAAAAAGGAAAAAACAATTGGATATTACGCACAAAAAAGTCTAAATAATGTGTTTCCTTAAAAAAAAAAAAAAAACAAAAAAGATCTGAATAATGTGTAGTGTGAAATTTTTTCCCTCCTAAACTCCATTTATTTATTACATTAATTTGTCTAGGAACTTTATTACTTATCTATTCATTAATATTATGATTAACTATTAAAATACAATTCTCTAGAGACTTAGATTCATATTTCAATTACTAATATTTTCTAAAACCAAGCAAGGCTCGCGAATTATCTAGTTGTGAAATATAATTGGATATTGCTCTGGTATCAGGAGGTAATTAATTTTTTCCTTTCATAATATCGTTTTTTGATTTTTAACACCACAAAAAAGCACGAAATTAGTTTCTAACACCACCAAAAAAATAATTATTTTAACACCACCAAAATTTAAAAAATTGATTTTTGCCATACTTAACGAATTCTTGGATGGAGTCCAAATGATTACATGTCAGCATTTATTGGTCCAAAATCATAAAAAAATATAAACAACCTAGCCACCACACCTCCACGGTCGGCAGCGCGTCGCCACCACTGCCCCACCTTGACCTCTCCCTTTTTCTAGTCAAAACCACCGGAAACTTTCCCCCTCCCTTTCTTTCTCCCCAAAACCGGCAACCGTCCCCAACGACCACCAAAATAGGCCGCTGTTTTTGCACACCCCCTAAAATCGGCCACCAAAAACGATCGATAGCGGTTGAAATCGGTCGGTTTAGGACCTAATTGGTCGATTTGACCATAAACCGGTCTATTTCGACCGGTAGCGGCTGCTACTGTTGATGGAGGCCGTTTTTAGGTGGTTTAAAAAATGGTCGGGCGTTTGTTGGTGGCTGTGAAGGAGGGGGCTGTCAATTTTGAGGAGGGGAAAAGGGAGGAGGTGGAGTTTCCGGTGGTTGGGGCTGGGAACGGGGGTGTTAGGATGGGGAAAGAGTGGCGGCGCACGGTCGGCAGTGGGGGTGGTCATCTGGGTTAGTTTTAGGTTTTGTTTTATTTTTATTTTTTAAGTTTCTTTTTTTGACTGATAATATGGCGACACGTGGCATAGTGAACCCCACTTAAAGGTTTTTTGGATGAAATTTGTTAAGTGGTGGAAAAATTAAATATTTAAAGTTTTTGGTGGTGTTAAAACTATTTTTTTTTTGAGGTGTTAAAAATCCAAATTTCCTAAAATCTGTGGTGGTATTGCTTTTTGAAGATTTTGATAAAAATGCATACTATAATGAAAGGAAATATAAATCGTTCTCAAATGTGTCAAATAATAAATCTTTGTTGTTTGAGCTAATGGGAGACTGTTGTTTCTCTTGAAAGGACGACCTTAGTACCCCTATCTTAAAATGCAACAGTAAAAAATGTCTAAAATAAAACTACTCCGTCATCTTCTATTATAATAAAACGAGATCAGGTACCATCATAAATTCCCCAAACTAACAAATCAATTCACAATCCATCAAATAAAAAAAAAAAATTCTAGTTACACCTTACTATCATTAATAAACTTCAAGGCTTCTCCTCGGTTTACATTATGTGTATCTATCATACCCATTTATTTTCATTCCCTAGTCTTCAAAGAAAACATAAGAATTGATGTTACTATTAATAATGTCATAATTAAATGTTAGAATGTTTAGATTGTGTTTTAAAATGTGCAAATGTATTTACCTTACTAACAGATTGTTAATAAAAGTGTGGGTTGTACGGGAAAATAGAACTGTTGTCAATAGTGTCAAAAGGTAAATAATGTGTCGACTAAGCTACAAATGTATGAGTATATATTTTTTTTATGCGAAGAAAGTGTACACTACGAAAGGAAAATTATATTGTTTGCTTGCTCTAAACAGCGTTGAGGCATAAGTAATGCGTAGATTGAGCTATTACATTCGTGCATTTATTTACATCCATAAGATAATTATAAAAATGCAAATTGAGAAAGAAAATGAAAGCAAGGGATGTCACTTAATAATCTTAAAATTAAATTTAATTATGTATAGGTTGTGTTATATAGAATTTACGATTGTATGTACTTTACATTAACATTATTAATAAAAGTACGGATTGTGAAATTAAAATATATACAACTCTCAATATCGTCGAAAGGTAGATAACGTGTTGACCAAGCATTTTTTTTTCTCGATCTAAGACATGGATAATGCGTGATTTCAATGTGCAAAGACGTTAATTTTGTGTAGGATGAGTCAGAAAATTAGCTACCATATTTGCCTATCTGCAATAATGATAAATAAAAGCGCAGATTGTAAAAATAGTTTAGATACCTCTCCCAACGATGTCGAATAAGTTGTAACGTGTAGCATAAGATGTGAAATCAACAACATACTATGATCGATGAAAGAGAAAATTGTGAAAGGAAAATGGATATTGCTCTCACTAGCTAGTATCAAGAGGTAAACCTTGTAGAATGACACACTCGCTCTCAATTATGGATACAAAAATTTTAAATGAACGTGCAGTAACCCGATGCACCCATTATAGAAAATAAATGGATGAAAATCCGATCCAAATGGATGAAGAGGCAAGTGATCGATGAGTCTAGTAATGGATGAGGTCGGATATCAGTTGAGCTCTAATAAGTAATCCGTCACCTAATCAATTATCCACCCGATTATATATGTAAATCAAAACACCTCCTAGTTTCCCACATTACTCCTTTATCTCCATCAATAACTACTCCAAAACGGCGGTTACTCCTCATTGGCGGTACTCCTCATCTATGAGACTTTTATGTAAAGCACATCAACGTGCCGATAAACAAATCAACAAAGCAATTTGGCCTTAAATTGTCTCAATAATCCTATGTAATATCATTTAATTTAGGTTTTGTTCAAAAAAAAAAAAAAAAAAATACGTAATTTTTTTCTACTTTATTTCTCTAATTTTATTCTCCTAGTTAATCTGTAATCATCTAATAATCTCTAATTATTTTCAAATTTCTAATTAAGTTACAAATCTGGATCTTGTTTGTACGATGTATTTGCTGCTAGCAAAGAAAGTTAAATAACAGTTTCCTGCTAAGGTTGAATGCAATCATTTCCCCTAACCAAAGTAATATCTTGCCTTGGAGGGGTTGTGAAAACAATTACATAGTTGCCTCGTAAACCCGCATTCAATAAAAACCACAAAAGGCTCCAAATGTTGATTTGCTCTAAAAATTGACCTTGAAAAAGCCTATGTCAGGCATGAGTGACCATTTATTGAGTTTTTTTCTAGCCAGAGTTAGGTTTGATAAGCCGCCTGACCTATTCGAATGGTGCATCTCTTCTACTTCCTTCCAAGTTATGGCCAGTGGTAAACCTTCAAGATAGACAATTTCACGCATGATATGCTTTTATGGCTGAAGACAATGCAAGGGGATTCAATATTTCCTTAATTATATCTTCATCCTCTACATGGAATATCTCTTCCATCGCATCCACATTGCCACTTAGGAGAGAAACTAGAAACCCTTTTCTTTCAGAAGAGGAGGCAACAGTCTCCCACCTCCATTAGTGTCGAGACGTAAATAATGATGCATGGACTATGATGATCAATGAAAGAAAAAATTGTGAAAAGAAATGGATATTGCTGTTACTAGTATAAATATAGAATGACACACGCTACTCTCAACATATTAATTAGGAGGAGAAATTAGTCCGCACTAATTAATATATGGGTTAGTTAGATATGTGAAATTGTTAACCATTTATTTCGAAGAAAAAAAAATATTAAGAAGACTTTATATATGCCAACAACCTAAGCATGCTACTAAATATCAATTAGAATGGTTTATTCAATGTTCAGATGCATACTAATCTACCGAGGGTAATGAAGTTAGTTGATAGATGTTCAGGATATAGCGGTTTTTAACTTATCCAATCATTAGTTCTGTCACTGCAAGATAAGAAACATTATTTATTTATTTTTTTAACATATAATTATTAATTTAACACGACTAACCAAAGCAAGAGATAATCTCTATTACAAAGTAACATAGTTTTGTCTGGATTAAGACTAGCAAGTACAAACAGTAAAATTATTGGACTAAAACTGAGCCTAAAAAGCAACTAAATATTACAATGACACAAACAATAACATACACTGATCAATTATTATTAATTAATTGGCTCCTAATTAAGTCCCTTTTACTATTGATGAGAATCTACTCTCATGATCAGTCAATCAACCATCTTCATTCTCTCCCAACAAGCCTGATCAAAAAGGTGAAATGAGACTCTCAGAATAGCCAAAGGCGGCCCCTGAAAAATAGCGAAACAAGTTTCCTCGATCAACTGACTCCCAAACAACGGTGCCTTCATCGAGTGGTTCTTCCTCTTCCTCTTCTTGTTCCTGTTCCTCTTCCTCTTGCTCTTGTTCTTGTTCTTGCTCTTGCTCTTGCTCTTGCTCTTGCTCTTGCTCTTGTTCTTGTTCCGATGATGATACCTTGCTAAGTTCATGTAGCATAAGCTGTTGAGATTGATGTGATATCTTGTTCACCAAACACTTCCCTGTATCAAATAAATAAACAAAATTCTTTCCTATATAGTTAAGAGTTAATTCATTTTCCCACGATATCGCCCACATCGTCGCATCTCCCTTATCACGATGTTCCGTCATAGTGCGAACATGACAATAATTCCTACCATTATCATTGTCAATCAAACAAAATGTCAAGCGCCCTTGCATCTGAAATAATCTTACAGTTGCAAATTCGCCAGGGAAACGTATTGATAATGGGATCATTACCATATCCTCTTCAACTAAATCCAATCCAATTATGCAGTTTCTCTCATCTTCAATACGATCAGGAAACCAATAAAGAGTATCACGAACAAACGCCGGGGTTTCATCTAGATATTCAAACATCAGTTCATAATACCATTTTCTCTTAGGCCTTTGGGTCCATAACCCATTCTTCAAAGAATACACAAAAATAAATAATGTTTCGTTATAAAATATCAAACACCCTATCTTATAATCATCAATCGACGAAACATAACTAAACCCGGCACACCTCGTTTCATAATCATCCCACTTACAAAGGACGGGACCAGAAGTATCGCGGACCTGGTTAGTCGCAGGGTTCCACACATACATGCGCATAATGTTTTCATTATACATGCACAATAGCCCATTAGAAGAACCCACCACATAAGTAGATTGAGCATTAAATTTAAACGCAGGATATTTATTCCTCAATTCAACAAACTCATTCACATTGTAGTTTTCATCAAAGGATAAATAATACTTATCTTCGCCGACAGTATCACGATCATCCTGGACAATGAGAGATCGATCGTTCGAGGGATACCACAATTTGAAGTGCTTTTTTGTGAATTTAGTACTCGATATCATGGAAAACCATCCTTTTGATTCAGATTTGAAGCGAATTAAAGGTTTCACCGCAAGTCTTATTAGGATGTTTTCCTCGATGAGATGATCCGGAAGAGGTGTGTGTGTGGATTCGTATTCCAATTTCTTCAGCGACGAGGTGTTCGTCATCTTTCAACGTTGGATCAAACCTGGCCTACAAAATGAAAACACCCAAAAAAAAAAATAATTAAAAAATAATAATTAAGTTTGAATTATAAAATTGGGAGATTTTAATAGATTAAATTTTAATTGAAATTAGTGAAGAATTTGCGATCAAATTAGTACCTGAAGAGTAGTGGCGCAGGTTAAGTGGGCTGATCGGTTGAGAAATGAGAATGCTGAATTTAAGGTTTGAATGTAAGAGTGAGGGTGGCGGCTTGTAATGAAAGTGACAGTGACTGAGGAAAGAGAAAGTCACTATTTATATGTTGGTCAAGTCAACCCTATTTCTTGCTGTTGTTTTTGGATTAGGGTAGAATTAGGTCAAGTTTGTAGAGTTGTACCGATCTAGTACGTCATTGATGCCGAAATTATGAAAAAGTATAATTCCCTTCATCATTAAATAAAAAAATGGATATTACGCACAACAAAGTCTGGATAATGTTTTTCCTAAAAAAAAAAAGTTCTAAATATTGTGTAGTGTGAAATTTGGGAATTATAAAATAAAACTGCTTACTGTGAAATATAATTGGTTATTGCTCTCGATGGTGTTAGATCATGAGGTAAATAATTTTTTTGCCGTCATAAAATCCGTGGTTGTATTGCTTTTTGAAGATTTTGATAAAACTGCGTACTATAATGAAAGGAAACGAACGTCGTTCTCAAATGTTTCAAACTAGATGGAAGCCCGTGCGATGCACGGTTTTTTCATCTAAGATTTTAAATATTTGATTTATTGTATTTAATAATTTCAGACAAAATTACAAAAGTTTAATATTTATTTTTTTATACTATAATTTATAATGAATTTATTAAATATAAATAAGTTGTACATATGATATTTATTCCGTTATATAAAATCTTTAATGTGAAATGATAAATTTTTAATAATTTAAATTTTAAATCATTATTCATTGTTTTACCATATCTTTTATTTCGATAGAATCACCAACCTCGTCCACAACCAACCTACTACATCAATGGATAAATTGAACCGTGAAAGGTTAGCCAAACTGAAATTGATATAAATAAATCTTTACATTTATATAAAATACTCAATATATTTACCAATAAATGAAAAATTATTGCGATATAAAATCAAATTTATACATTGGAATTTTTTCATCATCTCCAAAAATAACCAAAGTCATCCATATATTAAGTATACAACATCTAATCGTATGCCATTACATAAACAAATAATCGTTAAGTATCCTAAATAAATACAATGTAATTAATAATTACAAATATAAATTTAAACATAAGATTTTAAAAATTACCCAGACATTGATGACCTAAACCTAATACAAAATTACTAACACAAAATTCGCTTGATGGGGTTTTGTATTGATACGAAATTTTATTTGTGTTGTATGATGTGTTAGATCTGCATGTAAAAAAAATTTAGTAAATAAAACATAAACATATAATCATTGAGTATCCCAAATTAATACAATGTAAGTAATAATTAGAAATACTAATTTAAACATAGGATTTTAAAAATTAAGCTAAAAATTACCCGGCCATTGATGACCAAAAATTAACACAAAATTACTAACATAAAATTTCCTTGATGGAGTTTTTTATTGATACAAAATTTTGTTTATGTCGTATGATGTGTCAATTTATAATGGTAGGTATCACAAATTTTAATTTAATTATAATTAACGAACAATTTGTATTTCTATCATAAATACTATCAAAATTTATCTTATAATGATAGGTATTAAACTTTATTATAAGCGTTTATCATTTAAATATTTTTTAGTATATTTTTTTTGGATTTCTTATACTCGTAGTATTGAATTAATAAATTTATCTTTTCCTATATTTTTACTTTATTTTTTTCATTAAAATAATTTAATTCATGGATTATAATCTACGTGGCATTAAAATTTTAGATATATCAAATCTAATTTGTTACTTTTATCTAGGTGGCGACATAATTATTTAATTCAAAAATAAAATACAAATCTTTTTTCTTATTGGTCGTAATAAGTATATTTCTTATGTGGCGCTCCGAATACTCTCCAAAATGCCTTCTTTATTTATATATATTAGATTATAAATCTCTATTGTATAAGCTAGTAAATGACTGTTGAGTTCTCTTGAAATAACCTTAGTACCCCTGCTTAAACTACAATAGCAAAAAATGGCTAAAATATAACTAATCCGTCAACTTTAAAGTAACTTTCGAAATCATATATTGTCATAAATTTCCCAAACACTGATTTTAACAAATCAATCCCCAATCCATCAAATATAAAAAAAATTAGTTACACCTTACTGTCACTAATAACTTCGAGGCTTCTCCTCGTTTTACATTATGCGTATCTATCGCACCCATTTATTTCCATTCCCTAGTCTTCAAAGAAAACATAAGAATTGATGTCACTCTTTACAATGTCATAATTAAATGTAAGGATGTGTAGATTGTGTTTAAAATTTGCAAATGTATTTACCTTACTAAAAGATATTTATTAAAAGTGCGGATTGTGAAAATATATACATCTGATCTATCAATAGTGTCACAAGGTAAATAATGTGTGGACCAAGCTACGAATGAATGAGTATATTTTTTTCCTAAGACATGCATAATGCATGATCTCAATATTGCAATGACACAAATTGTGTTTAAATTGAGTCGTAAAATTAGCTACCATATTTGCTTTTATAATATAATGATAAATAAAACCGCAAATTGTACAGTGAAAGGAGCTACACATTGTAAAAATAAATAGGTTGATCTCGACAATGTCAGAAGGTAAATAAATGTTGGATAAGTTATGAAATTCATGGTTATTTTGCTTCCCAGCGCGATGAAAGTGTACATTACGAAAGGAAAAGGATATTGATTGCATGTTCACAACAGTGTCGAGATGTAAATAATGCGTAGATTGAGCTATTAAATTTGTGTAAATTGTTTGCATCTCTGATAGAACGATAAAAATGCAAATTGAGAAAGCGAAAAACATTTATGTTACTCTAAATAGTGCATGTCAAAATTAAAGGTTTGAATTTGTAGATTGTGTCCTAGAATTACTGATTGTATTTACACTAATAAGCGTTGTGAAATACGTGCAGATTTTAAAAGTAGATACATCTGATCTATCAATAGTGTCAAGTAGGGGTTGTTTTTGGGCAGGTCATTAGTGGGGCGGGTTAGTTGCGGGTCAAGGAAAATATTTAGTGGGTAATGTAGAGGGAAAATCACTATTCATTAAAAATCACTATTGATATGCACCCATATTTATAGGGTGAAAAATCGTACAAAGATAAGATAGAAAATTAATAATCATATCCTAAAATAAGATATAATATTAAGAATCCTAATCCTAATAAATCTCCTAATCATAATTGTAACCAACTACTAAATCTATCCTAACATAAATAAATTAAACAAATAAATATCCTAATAAGTAAAACTCTTAAAGCCTAAAAATAGGAAAAATATTTTCAAATGAAAGGTAAAAATCCATAGGCAAAATCCTAATAATTAATAATAAATAAAAGATAGTGTAGGCTTTCTAAAAACTCCATAAATTTTCAAGAAAACTCATATTGGACTATTGCTCCCATACACTAGTAGAAAAAAGTAAATTGGAAGCACCAAATGGGAAGCGGTTATTAAAATCCGCTTCCAAAAATCCAAAAAAATCCACAAAAAAAAAAACAAAACTGAAACATACAAATGGGGAGCGTTTTTGGGTTAAACCACTCCCAAATATTGTAATTGGAAGCAGTTTGATGTTAAACCGCTCCTCATTCCTAAAATATAATACGGGTCTTTCTCTCTCCTCCTCTTAACTCTCACGTTCTCATCTCTCTCCTCTCATCTCTTTCTCACGCCTCTCATCTCCCTCACGCATCTCTCCTTTCTCTCTCCTCCTCTCCATTCTCATCTCCTTCTCACACACCTCTCCATTCTCATTTCCTTCTTCTCACCGAGCAGCCCCCACCACAGCAAGCACCAACAACAACACCGACTCACCGAGCAACAACGCACCGAGCAAGCAACACCGAGCAACAATGCAGCACCACTGACTCACTGAGCAAGCACCACTGAGCAACAACGCAGGCACCAACAACAAAACCGACAAGGCGATACCCATTGAGAACCACCGGCGTTTTTCAGATCTAATTTTAATTTAGGTAAGAATTCAAATCTGGTTTTTTTTTTTTTCAAATTTCATCTTTTATATGCATTTCTGAACTGTTAGGTTATGTTAGATTGCTTTGTATTGGTTAGATTTATGGTTTATTTGCATTTTTTGAGTTGAAATTTGGTTTGGGTTTGTAAATTTATTGATGTGTTAATGAATTTGTTTCAATTTATTTGTATAATGAGTAAACCTTTTGATCTAATTTTTTTTAATGGTTGTCCGTTGCGATGGCGGTGGCAGAATGGCGGCGATTGCGGTGGCGATGGTAGAATGGCGGTGGTTTGCAGTGCGGTGGTGGCTTTAGTAGTAGTTTAGTTTTTTATTTTTTATTTTTTTATTTTTTATTTTATTAAAATGTAATATTACAACTAATTATTAATGAAAATATATATTTTTATACATACGAAGTATGTTTAATTTTTGTGGATCAATTTATGATTTTATGTGAAAAAATAATTGTTTTTTTTATATTTTAAAGCCATAATGGGGAGCGGTTTAGGCATTAAACTGCTTCCCATTCCCTTCAAATGGGAAGCGATTCAAACCGCTTCCCATTCCCTTCAAATGGGAAGCGATTCAAACCGCTTCCCATTTAAAATGGCATGGGAAGCCCCCCAATCGCGAGCGGTTCAAAAACTGCTTCCCATTAGGGTTTTGAACCGCTTGACATTTACTGATTTCTACTAGTGATATCAGGTCGGGTCAAGGTCAATGCGGGTCATTAACGGGCCTATACCCAGTTATCATCCATTTCAAATAGCTAGTCTATTGTCAAAGTTAGTGAAGTTTTAATCACCAAGTCGAATG